CTGAAATCTTGTTCTGGACACATTTGCTTTTTTTGGGGGGGGGGGTGATACAGAGAATCCAATTAGAGATTGTGCAGAATGGGAGTGGAAAAATGTACCTCTCAGAGAAACTATGTTATGGAAGGGGGGATGTTATAAAGATTGGCTATAGAAGGAGGAGAAAAATCCCAGAAGCCAGGACAAGACTGGGATATCCATCAAATAGGAAGTAGAAGGCTTGCAGTTCAAGGAAATGTTGGAAAACTAATTTCATAGTCAGCAATTTTGGAAGGCCGTTACAAGAAAGTCCCCTATGTATCCTGTGTTCAAAAGACCATTGAAACTACTGCTCCTGTCCTGTTATATTGTACACTCTAAGGATGCTTAAAATTCCTTACCTGATAAAATACCTAGGAAATTCTGAACCTTTATATGTACGGATGTTGTCAGATCAATATGATTCAGTCTCCTTGAATATAGCCAAATTATATATATTTAGACAGATTCTGATTGCTCATTGATGAAGCCACCACTAATTATATTTTATCCTGTTTTACTTAATTTTATTTTAATGTGCTTTTATCTATAATTCTGATCTGTGACTATAATAAAAATTATCTCTCTCATTGCCTTTACAGTTTTGTTTTTAGAGAAGGAGCTGAAAGGATAATTAAGATCCAAGAAATAATGGAGAATTGGGATATAAGCATTGAGTTTGGATTGTGCCAGTATGTGGAAGAGGCTTTTATTCTTAACTCAATAAACAAATCTTGATTTAATACATTTGTCTACATTGGTTTTCCATACTAGCAATATATATGGAGATAGTCAATCATTGAGTCCACAGTTGTCCCAAATGTGCTTTTTTCAAAAGGCAATTGGACTTTCTTGGGGGGGGGGGGGAATTCCCTTGAAAATGTTTCACTTTTCATCCGAGAAACTGCTCCAGTTCTTCAATGAACTGAAGAAATTTCTTGGATCAGAGGTGAAACGTTTTGAAGGAAAAAAACCCAAGGAAATCCAGTTACCTTTTGAAAAGCACTTTTGGGATATACTAGCATTGGAAGAAATATCCATCTGGTTCAGTTCCAAAAAAGACACTGGAGGCTGATTGGAAAGAGGGTTTAATGGTGAACAGAACCACCAAGCACCAATGGTCCTCATGCAGCTGAACACATGGAGTTGAGAGAGAAGGGTTTTTATACCTTTCCTTGGGCTTTGCATTTGAGCTTTCTGTTCCTGTGCAAGAACATGTTGCACAGACAAGAGCATTGGCTGTTGTCAGTTTCCTTGGGGTCATGTTTGTCTGAGCTACCATCCTTGATTGAAGTTTGCTGGGTGATGCAATGTCCTTAGGAGATTGTGCCATATGGTGAGCTCTGCTGCTAGATGGGTTAATCCTATTAGGTCCTGGAGGGTCATGTCTTAATCCCATCAGCCCAGAGCTGGAGTCTTCTGTCTTGTAGATAGGCTGGCCCTGTCTTTCTTAATGGGCACCAAATATCTGCTGGGGCTAGGGAACTGTTTTCTGTCTTTAAAAACATGTTTCTCCTTTAGGGAAATATAATATTCTGCCTTTAATATTTCTCAAAATATTTCATTCTTCTAGGAGGTGGGCACTAACTTTCTATACTAGCAGTGTTATAATATGGCATCTCTCCCGTGGAAGTGAAACTCAGGCTATAACTATAGTTGATTAAGTCACAAAGCTGCAGGAAACAACTTCATAGTCTTGGGTCTTGATGATTCCTTCAGACATCATGCAAAATCATGGCCTTAACTACAATGCAATGGGATACCTCATTTTAAGCAATGCACAGCCACTTAAAGTGTCCAGTGCAGACATTCTTCAATTATGTAAATCCACATCAAGTATGACATGAATATAAAGTGCTTAGTGTTGCTACAGCCTTCTCCTCCATCCCCCACCCCAAAAAGCTAGTCCTTTCAGATATGTTGGGAATCCAGAATTCCCAATGACAACAGTCTGGGAATGAGTGGAACAGAGTAAAACATCTGAGAAGAGGTCACTGCCACATTATTATTTTTTTAAAAAAATATCAATACAAAATACTTAACTGTTTAAATAAAATCAAACCTCTGGTTAAAATGTATTTCTTCCACTCATTGATCATATTTATCTATAAAAGCTGACAATGGCAAAATAGGATTTTTTCCCCTTTACAAAAAAAAAAAATCTTCATGCTGAGGTTTCTAAAAACAAAATGCTTACATCATCTGAAAAGAAACAAAATTTTCCCCAATGCTTCATAAATACTGGTTTGATACATATATAACCATCTCCCTGTGATTTTCAAGAGCCGAGGCAGTAGCTAACCATCTCCCAAAGCCTCATTTCATGACAAAATGAACTTTGAAATCTCTGCCAAGTTGTGACATGCCAGTTGATTCTTGTGAATGAGGGTTTAACCTCTATGGTCAATCTCACAACAATTTAGATCTATTGGGAAGGGTAATGCTTCAACCAAAAGACTAAGTCCTGCTCTTAGTTTTCAACTTCATGCATTCTTGTTGTTCATAGTAGAGTCTTGAAATGCCCAGAGATTTGAATGGCATGCATATCCATGAAAGAGAGAAAGACATAGGGAAAGTGCATCAATATAGGTAAGCAGATTATTAATGGTTTCATGGAGTACATTTTTTTAAGGCTCGCTTATCCATTGCTTCTTCTTCCTATGAATCATGAGAACTCACTTGAAACCTAGGATAAAATTGTCTTAAATCTAAAACAGCGCACACAATGCCTTTTCAAAGCAGTTAATGGTGTATAAATGGGACAGATTATAAATAGTAATTTGCAGACATTTTATACCCCAGGAACCCTTTTTCCTTAGTTTGACTAGATGAGGATCCTCTGTGCCACAAAACTCCACTGAAGAAGAATCTTCAATATGTCCCCAAGATATTCTGGATTCACATGGAGAAACAATCAACCATCAAGTTTCACCATCGCCACAGGTGAAATTAGAGTTAGGTAATGAAATTGCCAGAAATAACCTCCAACACCTCCTTTTAAAAAGATCAGGGGAGAAACTCATTCTCTGGCTAGTAATTGCTGCCAAAAATATATTACCTTTGCCATTCTAATATCCTATCATAAATAATAACTGGGGACGTGGGAAATCATTATCTAGTACAGGGGTGTCAAATTCTCAAGCCATGGGCTGGATGCAACACATGCTGGCCTCGCCCCCGCCCAGTTTAGCGAAGGGGATGGGGAAAGTCCCGATATGTCACATGATGCCACTGTGATAATGTGAGTTTGACACCCCTAGTCTAGTACATTAGTAGGGCAATAAGTAGAGGAAGGCAGACAGTTTAGGCAAGTTGATCAAATGATCTGTCCTGGAGTAACTTTCTAAGAAGAAAGAAGAAAGGAAAAAATTCAGGCAAAATTAATAATTCCTGTTTCTGATTGCTTTATCCATTTCTTAATGATCTGCCAGGAGAAATAATCAGCATAAGAAAACAGTTTTTCTTGTTTGCACAGGTGTATATTGCATTTTCAAGCAAACAGGTTAGAATCCTACTGTGGAACTGGATTTATAATCATCTGGATTTGAATTTCAGAGCCTTCTTCCAGCATAGAAGCAACTTGCAGCATGCGGCACTTGTTCTTGTAACTGGCAGGCACTATGAAACCTTCATAGGCAAAGTCTGAACAGTTAAAACAAAATGCTCTATCCTTACTATTCAATTTAGTGGTAACCTCAGCTTTTGCTCTGCAAGAAACATTATAATCCTTCCTAGATTCCCCTCATCACAGCAAGGGAAAAAATGACTAACAAATTCACATTCTAGGCTGTGCTATATTTCTATGGCATGCTTCAATGTGTAACTTAGTTTGGCTAAGAAAGAAGTGAACTTTTGTGAGTGATCAATGGCTACTTTCTCAGTCTATAACCTAGCTGATATTTGAAAACACAGCACTGTAGAGCCAAATAAAACCCTTTCTTTTTAATCTCCTTGCACTATAAACAAATGAAATGTTTATTACTTAGAGCCATCCAATCATAATTCTTTATATCTGTATGTTTGCCAATCACAAAAACAATTATTGCATGCTGCATATGTAGAAATGCTCAAGTTGAAGTTCAAATCCTTTTAAGCAATCTGTAAAATGGAAATATTTATGACTAACAAATGTAGGTCATTCATAAAACAAGCACTCTTCCAAAATTTCATATTTAAAAATTGTATAAATGTAACAACAAATATAAGTGAGCTACTACTATCTAGGGCAGGGATGTCAAACTCAATTTCATTGAGGGGGACATCAGGGTTGTGTTTAACCTCGGGGTGGGAGCTGGTGGACATGGCCAGGGTGGTCGTAGTCAGCTTGATGTCACTCATCATGGGTCTGTTTTCAGCCACTATGGCCCTCGCACACTCTGTTTTCGGCCATGATGGCCTCCTGCAGCCCTCTGCCAGCTAAAACTGAGCTCGTGAAGGCTACATGCGACCTCCCTGAGCTCTGTTTTAACTGGCAGAGGCATTGTGGGCCGGTCCCTTACTGTTTCCAGGGTGGGCCTGTGGGCCAGATCTAAGCCACCCCCCGGGCCGAATCTGGATCCTGGGCCTTGAGTTTGACACCGCTACTCTAGGGAGTCTAGACTATCTGGAAAACCTTTCTTATAACCTTTAATTACTGGCCCAGTGGCTGGGATGCATCCATGTTATAGGAATACTCTTTATAAAGCTAATGAAAATCACAGTCACACGACCACATTTCTGTAAGCTTGGGAGGAATTTTCATGAAGTAAAATACAAACCACACCATCAGCATGAAAGAGCACAAAAAATAAAACCCATATTCCTCGTGTGGCTTCCTAGGTCTGCCTTTCCTAACCTGATGCCCTTTGATGTATTAGACTAGAACTTCGATTATTGCCAGCCAACAGGAAATCCTTAATTCAGCAGTAGTCTGCAAACTTAACAGAATTACGGGCTCTCAAGCCTTTGGCCACAGACAGAGAAAAAATAGTTGATGTTGTACTTACACCACTGGAAAGGTTCTCAGCATAATTTACATGGGGAGAGGAAGGTCAGAAAGCCTCTTGGAGGTCTTCAGTATTTGTTATCATTCTGAAACAAATAAGTAGGAAGACATTTAATTTTTACATAATTTCTTAGAAGTTATTTTTCATATTATTGCACAGATCTAAACAAACACTTCACAAACAAGCAATGATTATTCCATTTTCTACCAAAGTCATATAAAGTCAGAATCTGTCTTAAAATAGACAGGACTCTGATGGATAGGAGGGTCTTTTTGAAATATTTTTACAGTGTCTCACAACGTAAATGCATTTGGACTTGATGGGTTGCAAAGCTGTAATTATTGAATAAAACACAGACCTAAAATACCAGTTGCTCAGAAAGATGTATAGCTTTAGAATGACAAATCAACATAAGCTCCAGAGAAATCTACAAGAGTGATTAAATAAGGCAGGAATAACATATCACAAGCAAAGAATGGGAAGATTGGGCATATCAAGTCTAGAGAGGGAAAAAATAATGGTGGTACATTTTAACAATTCTCCAATACTTGCAGAAAAATGGCGAAAAAGAGGGAAACTTTTTTCAGATCACCTAAGAAGTTAGTCAGAAACATGAATAAGATTTGTAATAAACATCCTGCAAAGATATCTAAATTTAAAGGGATATTAAGCAGACACAACAGCTTTTTACCTTTACTTTGACTATACTGAAATAATTTTTTCAAGGTCCACTAAAAGAGGAGTAGTTCATGGCTGGAATTTCTTTTTATTTCTAGAGCAACATTATGGATTTCACATATGCCAATAACTTTAACATGATTATGCTCAATAGTTTGTTTTGCTTTAAAAAACAGAATTCACAAACATCAGAAAAAGTCCATCAGCTTGATCAAGCCATAGAACTCAAACATCTCTGCTAGATCAGGCCAAAGGCCAACTAGTTCAGTGTTGATGACATTATCAAAAAAAATTGAGCGCTTAACCGGCAGTAATGCCAGTAGCAACCCACTCCTGACATCCTTAGTAACCTGTCCATTTAGGAAATTGGAAGATACGTGTCCATTATATTGAACAGACTCAATAGCCACATTTGTAAAGGTTGTTTCCTACATTATCTGCCATATTTACCATGTAAATTCCCTTGTGGAGTAGCTGATCTTGCTGCATGTCATGCAGGGATTGCAAACATTCGAATAAGTGAAAAAGAAGTTGCAAACTCAGGTTTAAAAACAGTACCGCACCTTTAAAATGTGAAAATCAAATCTCAGTTGGGGAAAACATATAAGACCTAAGAATGTAGACATCCCTGCCAGCAGTCTAAAGACAAAAAAACAGAGTCCAAACATTCATAGTGACTTCCAAACTTAACGATGGAAAAAGAGTCACTTTTTCACTGTATCATTTGTTTTCAAAGGAATCCAGTAGCTGAAGAACAGGCAGTATGTTTTTTGGATATCCCCTACCTATCATGGCATTTCAAAACCATAAGGCCTCAACCCTTCAGTCTGACAAACATAATCTTAGTTTGTCTTCCTAGCATTAACCAGGCAGAACAGCAAGTATCATTAATCTGTATGACTAATGCAGAGGTTAAACCTGACAAACCTTTGTCCTGTCTGCATTATTCATTAATGAAATTAACTTGTTAAAGGGGGGGAGGGGGAGAGGAGGAAAGGGAGAAACAGAGATTGAAAGAGGAAGTCAGCCTTCCTTCCCTCTCTGGTGCATAAATAGTATGCAAAAGAGTGGAGGAGAAAAGAGGGAGGAATTCTGTATTAGTATGAAAATCAACTGTAGCTGCAACTGTAGGATGGAATGAACAATCCAATCCTCAGCTTAAAAGCTGCTCTAAAAGGCAGCTCAAATTTACAATGGATGAGCCTTCATGGCAATCTGTTTTTCCGATATTAAAAATCTCATTTTCTCAATGCCAAGGACAAGTGGAAGCGTGAGGCACTGGAGTATCAACTCGGCATTTGTCTCATTTGACATTAAATCATTCTCATTTTCAACTTGCATTTTCTAATATCTCCTTGGGAGCCACTTCAGTTTTGTTCATTTCTCTTTGACTGCAATTAAGATATTGGAGTACCGCGTCTCCACCTTTGCCTCCACCTTCTACACTTCCTCTCAGAATGGGTTTTTTTTTTTAATTTAACCAGTTTCTGGGCAATTTAGAAGACCAAAAAAGTGCAGTTCCCACGAAGATTCACCGGGCAAAAAAATTAATTCACCTTAAACCATAATGGAGGAATATAGTATGTATCGAAGAATCAGCTCATATTCATTAAGATTCAAAAGGCAGTTTCACGACAAAGACACCGAAAGTGATTTCTTGTTCTAAAGAAGTTACAGTACTTCCATCTTTTATCATAGCCAGACTGTGGCCCTGAAATCACTTATCAGATATTAATACATATCCTCCAGCTCAGGATCCCAAATTTCAAATGAGCAGCTTTTGGGGAATGAGAGTCTAAAATTTTGCAATAATATTACATACTCAAACTGTCACAATGTATAAATAAACAGAACATCCTCCCACCAAAGATTTCACACAGCAGTTATCCTACTTTTTTTCCTACTATTTTAGTTCCACTTTCATGAGTATGCCAATTAGTTCAAAGACAAATACTACAAATGCCCACATTTATTAAGAACACAGTATGCAGAGGTTTTTTTAAAAAAAATAAAAGAATACAAGTTTCTAGTCCTTCATCTACGTAGAAGAATTTGGAAATGACAGAGAGAGACCAAACAGCATTTCCAGAGCAGAAGGAATCAACAGGATCCAGATCCAGATTGGTATTAGTACCAATCATAATTTTAAATTTATATCTTCATGGGCAAATACTTCCGGCTCTTAAATACCAAAGAGTCTAAAGACAAAGATGAAATCCAAACATAAGCATGCTGGTTCTACATGCAAACCCCTTTCTTCGATTTCTCTTTTCATTTTTTAAAACTTTGAAGGAAAGCTCCAGTTCCCAACTACTAGCCTCGTTTTTTTCTAGCAGGCCTTTGGGCCAAACGATATAACTAGGAAAGCAGTTGGAACGGCTATCCATTGCCTTCAGCAAACAATATTGTTATTATTTATTAATCGAGAGGGTCGGTTGAAAAGTCAAGAGAGTGGACAGGCAGAGGGATCAAAGTTCTGTCCACGATATGCACATTAAAAATGGGTGGAACTTCAATGGCACCATTGGGCTGCCAACTTGACTTTTTGACCACACCCAGTGAACACTGCTGTTATTATTATAATAATAGTAACAACATAAAACAGAAGCTGGAAAAAGATAAAATTAATATTTTGGTCTTTGGAGAGAATACTCCCAGGGGTCTTGGCAGATGTCACTCTTTGCTATTTGTGTGTGCGTGTAGGAGCTGAGCTAAGTGGGCTTCTTGGGTTTATGTTGGCTTGGGTTTTTAAAAATATAGTGGAATATTAAACTGCACACGGTAGGTTTCCTTTGGTGAAATATATCAAATTTATATTTTGACACAGAGGAGTCCATCTCCAACTGCTGCTTTCTTGCGTTGGTTGCTTATCTTTGTGACTTCAGCAGCCACTTGATGGTGGTTAGCAAAATCAGAACTTAATCTACTGAGATGAACACCCAGGGATTCTATACATTTAATTTCCCACATTTCTTGCGTCAGCTTTTCTATCCATATGACCACACTGGTTGCACCATAAAAAGGCTACAACCTTGATAGATACAGGATGACAAATGCTGCCTTATGCCACTTTAGACTACTGGATCACACAGTTGAAGTACCATTACTTTTTCAACTTAGCTTCCCATAGTCTTTGATAACTAAAGATGCTGGAAATATACTTAAGAGCTTCACCAGACAATGCTCTGGCATTGAACTGTGGCCCCTCCCAGGGCAAGGACTACCTTCCAAAGCAGTAGAGCAAAAGCTTCTCAGCCAAGGAAAAACAATCCCTTAAGTGGCTATTGATGCTTGCTCTGCGAGGCAGCAGGAAATCTAAGATACTAATAGGGCCTCTAAATGGCTATACTAAGTGCTGGAAGGTACTGATCTCCTTTGGCTTCCTCCTTCAGATTCTCTGCTTAGTTTTGGACTTCGGCTTAGAAGACATACGCATGACTTTTCCCTCCTCTGTTTAGATACAGCACTGGCACATTTTCAAGTGAGGTAACAAAATATTGAAAGCTTCATTGCAGCAGGAGTTTCCAGTTCTTCTACTTGTTGATTATTACCTGTTAAGAACTGTTTGCCCCAGTGATGAAATTCATTTTTTTACTACCGGTTCTGTGGGCTTGGCTTGGTGGGCGTGGCTTGTGGGCAAGGCAGGGGAAGGATATGGCAAAATCTCCATTCTCACCCTACTACAGGGGAATGATACTGCAAAATCTCCATTCTGGGGCCAGCCAGAGGTGGCATTTGCCGGTTCTCTGAACTACTCAAAATTTCCGCTACCGGTTCTACAGAACCTGTCAGAACCTGCTGGATTTCACCCCTGTTTGCCCCCCAACTGAGCCAAATGTTAACTGGTACCACCTCAAAACTCGAATTGTTGAGAAATAAGGCCATCAGGCAATTAACAGTCATCAATGATATCTGAAGTGCTTTGATACGCCAAAGTGAAAGAAATGAACTGTTTAAACCTCGACTCTGTTATGGATAATTTAGGAAGTTATTAGCCAATTTCTCTTTCTCCCCTTTTATAGGGCAGCTGACTTTACAATGGCATGTATCAATCAACATGTATTAATAATTAATCAATGGAATAACATGCCTCCTGGATTTATGGGTGCTCCATCACTGGAGGTTTTCAAAAATAGGCTGGACAACCATTTGTACAGGATGGCATAATGTGTCCTGCCTTGAGCAGAAGATTGAACTACAAAACCTCTGAGGTCCCTTCCAGCCCTATGATTCATGTTCTATGTATGTTAGTCAAAAAAATTCTCAGTATTTTCATGAAAGATTACATGAGATTTTCAAGCATGCCAGAATCCCATGTAACTCATGCAAGATCCATATCCACAACAGATTTGAATAATGTTTATTTTTTTAAAAATTCCTCTTGGGTGCTTACCTCCTGAAAATATT